TATCTTTACATGTAATTGGAAAAAATGGAATACTATTAAGTGGGGGGAAATTATGCTTCAATCTGTATTCAGACAATGTCAATTCTTTTCTGGGGATGGTTAGCATTTTTCATCATAAGTCCTTCAGAGATGTCTCAGATTGTTGTATTGCTGAGAATAGCTAAGTCATTCACAGCTGATCACCTTACAAATATTGCTGTTATTTCGTACACAGTACATTTCACTTTTCATCAGCTCCTGAAAATCTTTCCAGATTTTTCTAAGAGCATTGTTTCTTATAGCACAATAGTATTCCATTATAATCACATACTACAATTTATTAAGCCATTCCTCAATTGATGGACATCCTCTCAACTTCTAATTCTTTGTCACCAGAAAAGAACTGCTATAAATATTTTTGTACATATAGGTCCATTTCCTTTTTTTTTTTTAATCTCTTTTGGGATACAGACCTAGTAGTGGCACTGCTAGGTTAAAAGGTATGCGTGTTGGTGTTTTTTTTTAAACTGGAAAAAGGGAAAGTGCCATCTTTATTTTTCCTAATTGAAACTTTAAGCGTCCTTTGAACACAAAAGTTATATACGGATGATAACGAGGCAGCCTCCTTTCCATGGGACAAGATGAGCATTGCAAGCCTGCCACTGGTGGAGAGGCCCCGAAGGAACTGGTCAGGGAAAGGTCACTGTTCCTATCACTGGTCAACTAGGTAGGAATGTTTTTGTAGCCCTTTGGGCATAGCTCTAATTGCTCTACAGAATTATTGAATCAGTTCACAACTCCACCAACAGTTCATTAAAATATCTCATTTTTCCCACATCCCCTCCAACATTTCTCATTTTCCTTTTCTGTCCTATTAGCCAATTTAATGGGTATGAGGTAGTACCTCAGAATTGTTTGAATTTGCATTTCTCCAATCAATAGTGAGTTACAGCATTTTTCATATACCTATGGATAGCTTTGATTACTTCATCTGAACACTGTTCATATCTTTTGATAATTTATCAATTTTTGTAAATTTGACTCAGTCCTCTATATGTTTGAAAAATGAGGCCTTTATCAGAGAAACTTGTTTCAAAATCTTTTTTCAGTTACAATTGCTAACTGTATTTCCCTTCATCTCCTCTGCCCCTCCTTGTTTATTCTCTTTCTCCTTTCACCCTTTCCCTCTTCAAAAGTGTTTTGCTTCTGACTACCCCCTCCCCCAATCTGCCCTCCCTTCTATCACACATCACCCTTATTCTCTTCCTCCCCTACTTTCCAGTAGAGTAAGATAGATTTCTATACTCAATTAAATGTGTATGTTATTCCCTCTTTAGGCCAATTCTGATGACAGTAAGGTTCACTCACTCCACCTCATCTTCCCCCTTTCCCCCTCCACTGTAAAATCTTTTTCTTGCCTCTTTTATGTGAGATCATTTATCCCATTCTACCTCTCCTTTTTCCTTTCTCTCAGTACATTCCTCTCTCACCCCTTAATTTCATTTTTTAAGATATGATCCTTTCATATTCAACTCACACCTGTGTCCTCTGTCTATATATACTCCTTCTAACTGCCCTAATAATGACAAAATTTTTATGAGTTACAATTATCGTCTTTCCATGTAAGAATGTAAACTGTTTACCTTATTAAGTCCCTTATGATTTCCCTTTCCTGTTTATCTTTTTATGCTTCTCTTGAGTCTTGTATTTGAAAGTCAAATTTTCTATTCAGCTCTGGTCTTTTCATCAAGAATGCATAGCAGCTCTTTTTGTGGTGTCAAAGAATTGGAAATTAAGGAGATGCCCACCAATTGAGGGATGGCTGAAAAAGTTGTGCATATGATTGTGATGGAACACTATTGTGCTAGAAGAAATAATGAGAGCAACTAGGTGGTGCAATGGATGGGGTGACTGGCCTGAAGTCAGGAAGATTCATCTTCCTGAGTAAATTCAGCCTCAGACATTTACCAGCTGTGTGATCCTGGGCAAATCACTTAACCCTGTTTGCCTCAGTTTCCTCATCTGTAAAATGAGCTGGAGAAGGAAATGGCAAACCGCTCCAGTATCTTTGGCCAAAAAACCCCCAAAACTCAAATAGGGTCATGAAGAATTGGATACAACTGAAAACGATTGAACAACAACATAAGGAATGATGAACAGGATGGTTTCAGAAAAACCTGGGAAGACCTCTATGAACTGGTTCAGAATGAAGTAAGAACCTGGAGGCATTGTACATAGTAACAAATACTGTAAAGACATCATCTGTGAAAGACTTAGCTACTCTGATCAATACAGTGATCCATGACAATTCCAACGGACTCATGATGAAAAATGCTATCTACATGCAGAGAGAAAATTGATGAGTGCAAATTGAAGTAGAATTTTTAAACTTTGTTTTTCTTGTTTTTTTTTTTGCAACATGGCTAATGCATAATTTCATATGTATAATTTATATCATATTGTTCGCCTTCTCAATAGGTATGGGAAGTGTGGAAAGGAGGGAGAGAATTTTAAATTCAAAATTTTGTAAAAGAATGTTAAAAATACATAATACATATTTTTAAAATTTATTTATTTTTAGTTTTCACATAAGCTTTTGAGTTTTAAATTTTTCCCCTTCCTTGCCCTCCATCCTCCCCAAGATGATGGCATGCAATCTGATATAGGCTCTACATATACATTCATATTAAACATATTTTCACATTAGTCATGTTGTAAAGAAGAATTAGGACCAATAGGAGGAACCACAAGAAAGAAGAAACAAAACAAAACAGAGGGGAAAAAAAGAGCAAATAGTATGCTTCGATCTGCATTCAGAGTCCATAATTCTTTCTCTGGATGTGGACAGCATTTTCCATCATGAGACTTTTGGAAATGTCTTAGATCCTTGCATTGCTGAGAAGGGCTAAGTCTTCAAAGTTAGTCATCACACAACATGGTTGTTACTGTGTACAACATTCTCCTGGTTCTGCTCACTTCACTCAGCATCAGTCCATACAAGTCTTTCCAGGTTTTTTTGAAGTCTGCCTGCTCATCATTTCTTATAGCACAATAGTATTCCATTACATTCATATGCCACAACTTGTTCAGCCATTCCCCAGTTGATGGGCATCCCCTCAATTGCCAATTCTTTGCCACCACAGAAAGAGCTGCTATAAATATTTTTGTACATGTGGGTCCTTTTCCCATTGTTATGATCTCTTTGGGATACGGCCCTAGAAGTTCCATTGCTGAGTCAAAGGGAAAAATAAATAATATTTTTTAAGGCAATTGGGGTTGGGTGACTTGCCCAGGGTCACACAGCTAGTAAGTGTCAAGTGTTTGGTCTGAGGCCGTATTTGAACTCAGGTCCTCCTGACTTCAGGGCCAGTGCTCTATCCACTGCACCACCTAGCAGCCCCTAAAATAAATAATATTTTTTAAAAAAACAGTGATGCCTCCAAAATGAGGCCATTATGACTTTTTTTAAATGCAAAGAAGAGAAGAATGTTCAGAAGAAAGTACAAATGGGACAGATTTGAAAGTAATGTGTAGAATTTATTATATATATTATATAGTTTAAAGAAGTATGAAATGGAGATTTATATTTCATATAAAATCTTCTTGTTGTGTTTTTAGTGTGTATGAAAATGTTATTTTTTAGGTTTTTAAATTTGTGATTTTAAAATTAAATTTTTTTTTCATTTTTTAATTTTTAAAAAAAATTTTTTTTTCCATATGCTTTTGAGTTGAAAATTTTTTCTCCCTTTTTCTCCCCCCCCACCCTCCCCAAGACAGCGCACAATCTGACATAGGCTTTACATTTACATACCCATTAAACATATTTTCACATTAGTGAAGTTGTAAGTAAAAATTAAAACCAATAGGAGGAACCATCAGAAAGAGGAAACAAAACTCAACAGAAGGTAAAAATAAGTGAGAGCGATTCGACTTCCATAGTTCTTTCTTTGGATGTGGACAGCATTTTCCATCCCGAGGCCTCTGGAGATGTCTTAGATCCTTGTAATGCTGAGAAGGGTTCAGTTTAACATTCTTAGTCATTGCATGATGTGGCTGCTATTGTATACAAAGTCCTCTTGGTTCTTAAAATTAAATTTTTTTAAAAAGAAAATGCTAGAACTGTGACAGATCAAAAAAATGTTTTTTAAAGAATCAATAATGTGGCAAATGGCATTTTAGCCTGCCATTTAATTAAGATATGCATAGAATGCAGAATTAGGGAAATGATAACTCCCATTGTACTTTGCCCTAGTCTTACAACATATGGGGTATTGCATTAAATTCTGAGCACTATATTTAGAAAAGACATCTACAAGTTGAACATTCAGAGAAGGGCAAACAAGATAGTGACAGGTTTAAGATCATTCATCTCAATTTCTCAAACATGTAGTAAGTGTCTCCTATGTTCAAGGCACTATGCTAAGTGCCAGGGATACAAAGACAGGAAACAGTCCTTTTTCCTTAAGGAATTTGCATCCTACTTTACAACAACAATGAAGAGGTAAGTCTATAGAAAGTATATAAACAGTGATGCAGAATAGTTTCATAAAGAATGGGAGAGATTGTTAATAACAGATGGGACCAGGAAAAGTTCTCTCAAAGGAACCTCATGCCATAGAAAAATTAACTAAAAGAAGTGAGCATATTTAGCATGGAGAAGGGAAAACTGGAGGGAAGACATGATAATTGTCTTCAAATATTTGAAAGGCTGTATTGGGAAAGATGGAATAGACTTTAAAAAAAACTAGAAGCAGTGAGTAGATGATGGGGAGAGGCATACTTAAGCTTCATGAAAGAAAAACCTTCACAAACAACTCTAGCAAAATGGGATGGGCTGCCTTGGGAGGCAGTAGGTTAACCACCACGGGAGATCTTAAAGTGAAGGCTGGAAAACCACTTATCGAGGAGGATGTAGAGAAAACAGGTTGGACAAGATGGCCTTTGAGGTCCCTGCCAGCTCAGAGATTCTGTGATTTTCTGCTCCGCTTCTAATGACTGTCCTGACTTGTTCCATCTTTCAGGAGGAAGGTGGGAGTACAAATACCCTTGCTGGTGGAAGCCGAAGCCGGAACAGTTCTGGCAGGAGCAGTGGTGCAGGTGGCAGTGGTGTCATCACCTGTGGGCCTGGCTATCTTCCACTAATGCAGGAGCTGCAGAAAGCCTTTCTCATGCGTGCTGAGTGTCCCAGGTTTAACAACGTGTCGACTTCCACATCCCAGTGTGGTAAGTGCTGTGATGAAAGGGCTGGGTAGACACGTATTTCTATCTCTGCCAAGCTCACCACATTCGCTCTAGCACAGACCTTGTTCTCTCCTGAGAGAAGATTTGAGGTCGGAGTTAAGTATACTGAATGATTGTAGGATCCCTTGAGGAGATGCTGTCTGCATTCAACAGAAACAGAGTTGGATATGTAGGATGGGAGGAAAGAAGGAAGGAGGGAGGAAAGGAAGGGAGGAAGGGAGGAAGGGAAGAAGGAAGGAAGGAAGGAAGGAAGGAAGGAAGGAAGGAAGGAAGGAAGGAAGGAAGGAAGGAGAGAGGGAGGGAAAGAGGAAGGGAGGAAGAAAGGAAGGAAAGAAGAGAGGGAGAGAGAAAGAAAGAAGGGAAGGAAGGAAGGGAAAAAGGGAGGGAGAAAGAAAGAAAGAAAGAAAGAAAGAAAGAAAGAAGAAAGAAAGAAAAAGAAGAGAGAAAGAAAGAAGGGAAGAGAGGGAGGAAAAAAGGAAGGAAGGAAGGAAGGAAGGAAGGAAGGAAAGAAGGAAGGAAGGAAGGAAGAACCTGTGCACCAGTACTTCTTTGTGGAAGAAACCATTCTGGGCACTAGGGATATAAAGAGAAAAAAATTTTTAAATAAATAAAGCAAGAGTCCCAGCCCTCAGGTAGCTTACTTTCTACTTTCTATCTATAGATACATAAATGCAAAGTATATACAGAATAACACAAATTTATTTCAAGGAGAGAGCTCTGGAAATTGGGAGAAATCAGGAAAAGTGTCATGTAGAAGGCAGCACAATAGGTGTTCTTTGAAGGAAGCTAGGTATCATTATCTCAACTCCCATACCCACTGACCAGCTGAGTTCCCAGAGGTAGGCTGGTGACATCTCTCCTTCAAGGTCCTAGGGGTATCTTTCAGGGATTAGAGTTTATTCTCTCTAATGCCATTGGCTTGGACCTCTGCTGTGTATATTCCCCCTCCCCAAGATTATTAGTTATGAATCATTTAGTTCTCTTCCATTTGTGAAGAGAACAAATAGTTCCACTTAAATATGGTAAAAAACTATGTCCAACTCTCTTAGGCTTCTGATTCAGACACTGCTGTCAACTGATTTGGGGACAGCACTAGACACTGACAAAAAAAATGGTAGCTCATAGTAGGTCTGGTATCCTGCGAATCCTCTACAATGTAAAGATCCTCCAGTTAAAGGCTGGTAGGAAGAGGAAAGGAGACCTGGCTAAGGGCGTAGTTGAGACTTCTTCCTTTACCTCCAGGTGGTTCCTTCTCAGAGAGATTCAGCTGGAGCTCCACACTCACTGCAATTTGGGGGGTTCCCCTTTCTCAACTCGATAATTTATAGATGATCTCTGGAGGTATGACCAAGTTTGCCAGCCTATTAGAACAGATTTCCAGTTTGGATTCATTTTACTTTACCTGATAGCTTTCAAAAAATTTTTGAAGTACTCTAAGATCTTTTGATTCATTGACTGATTCAGATTTGTTCTCAACAGAATCTCATAGGATCTTAGGGTCATGGCTTTAGAGCTTGAAAGAACCCAGAGGTCATCTTGTCCAACCCCCTTTGAGACCCATAGTGGTCAAGTCAGTTGACCAAAGTCCTTGTAGGAGACAAGGAGGAAAAAGCCAGTACTTGGACCCACATCCCCGATTCCAAATCCAGCCCTCTTTCCCCTTAATCGAGTGGGCTACATATCTGGATCGATATTCAGGTACTAATAGGATCGGATGACTTCTGAGTTCCTTTTCAACTATAAGACCATATTTCTCCTCCTTTTGTTATTCTATTTATTACTCTGGCTAACCTTAATGTCTGAAATGATCCCTTTCCTTCTCCTTTGCTTTGTAAAATCCTTTACTTCCTTCAAGGCTAAGCTCAAGCATCCCCTTCTACATGCAGCCTTTCCTGATCTTCCTAGCTGTCTGTCCCTCCAAATACCTCGTCCTGATTTTGCATTTATTTTGTAAATACTTATATGTGTATGTGTTGTTCCCCTATCAAATATAAATTCCATGTGGGCAAGGACCATACCGTGTTAGTCCTTGCATCTTCTGTACCTAACACAGTGCCTAGAACATCATAGGTGCTTAATAAATGCTTGATTATTTAATTGATTGACTAGAAATCCAGCAAAAGGCCATATACAGTAGGTATTTAGAGCATATTGAATTGAAATTAATTAGAAAACTTCTAAAACTTTCTAGGACCAGGTTTGATTGCTGTGTCTGAACTGCCCAGTGGAACATACTTCAAAAACATCGACTATGAGAACTGGAAAATGACAGATGAAACATCATTCTTGAACATTTTAAAGACAACTGAAACAGGTAAGAAGTTGAATCAGCTCCAGGCATGATGACAGGGTCTGTCCCTGGTATTTTCCTACATCTCTCTTCAGTCCTTGTTTGCGTGCAAGTATGCATCCTGGGATCTCTTTTGCAATTCAATGAGCTTAGCTAAGTTGTTAGCTGATTATGCTTAAGTCTTCCCATCTGCAAAGGCATTGAATTTTAACTGGATTTTTTTCTGTGATCATCGCTTGTCACCTTCCTCACAGACATGCCTTTGTTGACTTATAGTTTTGTCATGTTTGGGTCACTGTTAAAACCATAGTTGAAGATGTCAGCTGGTAAAAGATGGTCGGGGTTATCTGTGCATCTTGAGGGTTGTACAGCCTCACTTGTCCAAGAATGATCTGTGAACATGACGTATATTGTATCTAGCTACTCATTTTGGAATGATGTAAGGTGACATTGTAACAAAAAGATTTCTGAGAATTCAGCTTATAGAGACCTATGTTTTATGCACCTCTTACTCTAGAGTGTACTTGCTCCAGGGATTAAAAGATGGAAAGCGTGCTAGTTGGGTATATCACTCAGGAGCACAGTTCTCTGTACCTACTTGTAGTTTCTGCTCTGTCTGAAACCCGACAAGATTGCCTGTACCCGAAGAAACTTACTATTTAAGCCAGGAGGTCTCCCAACACTGTAGCTGTGTCTTCCCTTTTGCAGCTGGCTACTCAATCACTTACAAGTAAATTCATTTGTGTTAGACCACATGCTGTGCATCCCTCTTGTCTTTGCTTGGGAGAACACAGAGCCCTGCTCTATCACCCAATATCCCCAAGTCTTATGGGAAAATACCCGTTTGACAAAGACTTCATCTTTGCAGATGGATTTCTATGAGCTTTTCTTTTTGCTGGAAAATGAAGACAACATAATCCCGATATGTTTCCCATTTTTCTCTGACTTCTGAGCCAAACTCAGTTGTTAACCGTGCAGATCAGATCTGCACAGATGAGCTGATGCCAACTACTGCTTCTGTTTCCTTTAGATGGAACACCGGTTGGAACAGAGGGCACTCACCAGACTGAGCTACTTAGCGGCTCGGAAATTACCTTTACAGGATATTGATCAAATCACCATAGAAATGTAGAGATTCAGGGGCAGCTAGGTAGTGCAGTAGATAGAGAGAACACCGGCCCTGCAGTCAGGAGGACCTGAGTTCAAATCCAGCCTCAGACACATGATACTCACTAGCTGTGTGACCCTAGGCAAGTCACTTAACCCTGATTGCCTTGGGGGGGGGGGAAAGAAATATAGAGATTCCCAATAAGGGTATCAGAACTATCGAGTCTGGGATTAGCCCTATACGATGGACTAAGATGTAACAGTTGAGATGGTTACTCATACAATCAAATACATTTCTGTAATGTCATATATACACATAAATAATATTATAAACGTATACATACATATATGTATATATAATATACATATATACATACATAATATGTACACATACATACACATATATTATGTGATTGTATGAAACTACATTTTTCTTTGTTTAATGCCATTCACCGTTGTTTCTGAAATGTGCGATTTTTAATTGTTCATAAAATTTTGACATACATGCTTTTACGTACTATTCTTCATGCATTAATTATATATGTAACATATTATTGATGTGTTGGCACATGCATGATTTCACAAATCTGGCCTCAGACACTTACCAGTTGTGTGACCCTGGGCAAGTCACTTAACCTTGATTTGCCTCAGTTTCCTCAACTATAAATGGGGATAATAATAGTACATACCTCCTAGGGCTGTTGAGGATCAAATGAGATAATAATTGTAAAGCACTTTGCCCAGTGCCTGACACATAGTAGGTGCTATATAAATGTAGTAGGTGCTATATAAATGTGAGTTATCATTATCGTCATCATCATCATTAGTGATAGGGCCTTTCCCCATCCAGATCTTCAAATAGAAAGGAATTCTGTTTTGTTCAATCTACCCTCAACAAAGCCAATTGTCTTCTTTTTTTAAAAAAATCAATTAATTTATTTTTAGTTTTCAACATTCACTTCCAGAAGCTTTTGAGTTTTAAATTTTCTCCCCTTCCCTCCCCACCTCCCTCCCCAAGATGGTGTGCAATCTGATATAGGCTCTACATGTACATTCTTATTAAACATGTTTTCACATTAGTCAAGAAGAATTAGAACAAATATGAGGAACCATGAGAAAGAGGAAACAAAACAAACAAACAAAAAAGAGAGAAAGCAAATAGTCTGCTTGGATCTTCATTCAGACTCCATAGTTCTTTCTCTGGATGTGGATGGCATTTTCCATCATGAGTCTTTTGAAGTTGTCTTAGGTCCTTGTATTGCTGAGAAGTCAGTCTATCAAAGTCAGTCATCACACAATGTGGCTGTTAACTGTGTACAATGTTCTCCTGGTTCTGCTCCCTCCACTTTGTATCAGTTCATGTGAGTCTTTCCAGGTTTTTCTGAAGTCCACCTGCTCATCATTTCTTATAGCACAATAGTATTCCATTACATTCATATATCGCAACTTGTTCAGCCATTCCCCAATGGATGGGCATCCCCTCGATTTCCAATCCTTTGCCACCACAGAAAGAGCTACTAGAAATATTTTTGTGCATATGGAGTCAATTGTCTTCTCACAGCAAAGGAGGTGAAAAATCTTTCTTCTGCCCTCTATTTCTCCTCCTTCATACCTGACAGGGTAGTAGAGGGCAATACGCTTTGGATGGGTTTCCAATTTCTCAGACTATACATGGATCTGTTGTTGTGTCTGATTCTTTGTGACCGCATTCGGGGTTTTCTTGGCAAAGATGCTGGAGCAGTTTGTCATTTCCTTCTCCAGCTCATTTTACAGAGGAACTGAGGCAAACAGGGGTAAGTAACTTGCCCAGGGTCACACAGCTAACTGAGGCTGGATTTGAATTTGGGAAGATGAGTCTTCTTGTCTCCAGGTCAGGCATTCTATCCACTGCACCATCTAGTTGCCCCAAAATATGGTGCTAGAGAACAGTAAACTCAGCCTACTCTCCATACATAAAGTCGCAGGATTCGTCACTCTTCTCTTGAACCAATCAGTTCTCAGCAAAGCAATGCCTCTTTTCCAATCTACATGGGTCCCAACAGAACAGCTGCAAAGTCACCCTGCCAACTGAGCTCCTATCAGTTTCTGTCTTGTCTTCTAAAGGAAATTCTCCTTTACTATTAATGCTTTTTGTTAATGATCCCTCCTCGTATTCAGCTTCCTTCTATTTCTTTCCTTTTCTCCTCTTCTTCTGTCTGTATTTTCTAAGGCAGGGTTCACATGGGATCTGTGAACTTTTTTTTCCAAAAAAAATTTTTATGCTCATTTTCAGTGCTGTTTCTTTTGTGATCCTCTGTGATTTTGAGATCCTTTGTGATTAAATGTGACTATTGACTATTAAATGTGATTAAAATGACTATTCTTTGAAGGTATCCATAAGCTTCACCAGACTGCCAAAGGAGATTACAAACTCCATCTTAATGCCTAAAACACAGCACTTTCATCAGTAGTGACCCTCATTAACATGATAAGTGTGCAACCATATCTATCCTTATATAATTTTCCCACTGCCCCCAAAGAAATTTATTTTTTTAAAATTTCTATTATTTTTCTTAAATTTCTATTTTTTTAAAAATTTCTAGTTTCTCAGTTCTAACCTTTAAAACTCTGAAAACAGTCCCATGCAAATAAATTGATGGAACACAATTCCCTGCACCAATCTAAGGTAGCTTAGAAATCCTTAATGTGCTAGAAGAAATGGGAGCAATGACTCTCTTCTTTTCTTTTTAGGGAAAAAGCTCACATATAGTAAGAGTGCCTGTGAATTCCAAAACTTAAGCCAAAGCTACGAGGATCTCAGTTCCCAGAAAGTAATAAAGAGCCCCCAAAGCTGGAAGCTTCCTTGGTATGCTACTGTGATTCAGGAGAAGGTGAGCTGGTCCAAGGCTCTGATTTCCACAGAGCATTCTCCATGGAGGAGACCTATACCCCAGGGCCCTTGGGAGGAAAGGCCTGTGTAAACTGCAAAGCACTATAAATATAGGTGGCATTATCATTACAAACTGTAAAATTGCTATAGAAACAGAGGCCATTTTCCTTGTTAATCAAGCAAAAAGCATTTATCTAGCTGAGGCAATGGGTCAAGCATTGTGCTAGGGCTCTGGGGAGACAAAGACAGAAATGAAACTATGCCTCTTCTGGACTTGCTAGGTTTGAGCTGCCTACTGGGCATTTAATTTGAAATGTCAGGGTGGCAGTTGGCAAAGTGGGACTCCAGCTCAGAAGACAGAGTCTTGCTTTGAGAACCAAGGAGTAGAAGCGTAATGATATCAGGAATGAATTCCACACATTGAGAGCCGCCCCCAACTGGAAGGGGCTGCTAGAAAGGTAGGGGATGTCCCCTCCTTGAAGGTCTCCAAGCAGAGTCTGGATGACCCCATGGGGGCAGGTTTGTTGTAGAGACGGTATCTTCTCTGGAAGGGTGTGCTCGGTGGCTGCTGTGGTTCCTTTTGGAGATTCTGTGACGAGTACCCATTTACCAAGGACTGAGTGGTTTTTTTGCCAGGATCGGCACTTGGTCATCATGAAAGAGGAGGTCAAGCGGCTCACGGCCTTAGAGGAGGATTGCCTGAAGAAAGATAATGAGCTGGCCCAACTCAAAGAGGAGGTGAAAGACCTACAGAAACGGCTGCAGTTCCTGAGTGAAGTCCAGGGAATAGAAGTGAACCCCAAGGGAGAGGTGAGTGGGCCCCAGGAGGAGACGGCCCACACTGGGAGGGGAGATGAGAGAAAATCACAAAGCTGCATGGTCTTTGCAAATGGTGACTCCAGTGGCCCTCTGGAAGCTGACCCTCTCCCACCTTTGCTTTTCTTAGGTCTCAGGTGAGAGCAAAGGAGTCAGTGATGTGGCGGGCAAAATGCAGGACCTGGAGCAGGCCCAGGAGGTACTTCCTCCCTTTGATCTTATTTGTCCCATCTTGAGGCTTATCGGGGACTCTAAGCAAGTCATTTAACGTCTGAGGACCCCCAGGCAACTATTGGGGTTGCTGACCTACCTTAACTGAGGGCTTTTTTTTTTTCTTAACTCTTTGGTGAGGCAATGGGGTTAAGTGACTTGCCCAGGGGCACACAGCTAGTTAAGTGTCTGAAGGGGTTTTCTTGCCAAGACCTCCCTACATAGCTCCTGACTCTCCCCCACCTCTTATCAATCAATAGACATTTATTAAGCACCTACTATGTGCTGGGCACTGTGCCGAGAGCCGGGAATACAAAAAGAGGCAAAAGATAGCCCGTGCACTCACAGAGCAGTCATACCCTAATGCGGAGTTGCTGTGAGGAAAGCGCTTTGTAAGCCTTGAAACACTGTAGATATATGACCTATTATAAGCGCTAATGAGGGACAGCATGGCATGGTGTCGGTAGAATGCGGTACTGAGAGTCAGAATGTGTTAGGTTCGAATCCTAACCCGTCTTCTATGACCATGGGGAAATTCCTCAAACCTCTCTGAACTTCAAGCAATTGCCCTGATATGTCTTCTAAATTCTGAATGGGTTGTAATGTGCCTTTTGTGATTTCCCACAATTGTCCAATTGGAGAAATCACAAATCCTTCCAGTGGTTGCATTTTATTATATGGGCATTAATAGTGATGATCACATTAACATTAATTTAACATAACGGTCATAATATAGTGTTATAATCTAGTATTTTCTTTAGGATTTTTACATCCATGTTCAGCGATGAAATTGGTCTATCATTTTCTTTCTTTGTTTTCACTCTTCCTGGTTTAGGTATCCGTATCATATTTGTTTCATAAAAAGAGTTTGGTAGGACTCTTTCTTTTCCTATTATTCCAGAAAATTTACTTAATATGGCCTTTAAATGTTTGATAGAATTCACTTGTAAATCTTTCTGGTCCTCGTGCTTTTTTTCTTAGGAAGCTCATTTATGACCTGTTTGATTTCTTTTTTCTGAAACAGGTCTATTTAGATGTTCTATTTCATCTTCTGCTAATCTAGGCAGCTTACATTTTTGTAATTATTCTTCCATTTCAGTTAAATTGTTCAATTTATTGGCACATAAATGGGCAAAATAACTCCTTGTAATTGCTTTGACTTCATCTTCGTTAGTGATATAGTCACCCTTTTGACTTTTAGTACGAGTGATTGGGTTTTCTTCTCTCTCTTTTTTAATCATATTAACCCATGGGCATATTTAACAGGTAAGGGCAAAATCAGTAGAAGAGGTTAGGAGTCACAGTATGGTAGGTAGAAGGCCAGACTCAGGATAGGTAGCTTGTAAGGGTAAAGCCCTTCTCTTTGAGTATAAGATTCTGCCTTTGTAAAGTGAAGGGATTGAATCAGGTGATCTCTGAATAAAACTGTATAAAGCCATCATTCTCTGAGTCAGTTTTTGTTCCCCAATCTACTGGCAAAGTGTCCCCCAGATTTTCATCCATCTCCTTGGAGAAATAGAATCAGAATCACAGAAGGTCAGAGCCAGAAGAGACCTTAGCTACCCAAGGAAGGCAATGTTCTGAAGACCTCTGCGGTCCCTTTTAGCCATGATCTGATGATCTAGTCCAATCCCTTCATGCTAGAGTTGGGGAAACTGAGGCCAGACAAGGCTAGAACTTACTTAGGGCTTTCTAGACCAGCCCTTTTTACCCAATACCTTGCTGCCGCTGAAGCAGAGGAGTTGACAGATAGACTTTTTCTTACAGACGGCTGTTTCTTCAACCTGACCACCTTTCTGCCCGTGGACTTAGCTTTACACTCAGGGCAGAGCCCAGGCAAATGGAGAATAACTCAAAACCATGTTTTCCACCAATCTATGGGGCGGGCCAGGAAGCAACACCTGAAACATGTTTAATTTCCTTCCTCACCACTGGGACTGTTAGATAGGTGTGAAATGTCAAGGCATTCTGGGTAATAACATGCAAAAATAGGCAAGTCCAATGTGGATCCCCCTTAGTTCTCCAAAGGAGTGTGCTCATTACCACAGGGCTGCTTGCTGTGACAGAGAGGAGGAGAGGACATGAGGGGCCGCACCCCACGCTGGGCCTGCCTCATTTATTTAGAAGCCAGTCATCCTGGGCTGTGAGTTGGGACTAAAAGCTGAAAAATTTGTGGTGTGGATGAAGGCTGACCTCTGTGTGTGTTCCCCTACTCCAGAAGTTCTAAACCTGGGGTCCAGGAACTTTTAAAATATATATTTTTTGATATAATTGGATTTCAATATAATCATAATGCCACATATTTTATTTTATGCATTAAAAAAAATTCCCTGAGGTGTCCCTAGGCTTCACTATATTCCCAAGGGGATCCAGGACATAGAAAAAGACAAAGAATTCCTTCCCTAAAGAAAAGTCATCCTCCAGGTCCTTACCCACTTTTCACTTGGGACCCAACTGAATTTATCCCCTAGCCAGAAGATACCCCGATGGTTCCAGAGACCAAGCCAAGTATGGAAACCAGTGTTCTTTCCACCACAACTTATGAGGACGTTGGAATCCAAGAAGAAAGAGTCATGTCAGAGGCAAGGGAGGAAGGTTCCAAAGCAAGTATAGACATTTATGAGCCCCTCCCACCCTGTGAGATAAGACGGATCAGCATCTCAGGGAGTAATGCCAAAGATGAAGAGGAGCTACGAAGCTCTGCAAAAGATGTAAGATGTGGCAAGAGGGTGGAGAAGGGCTTCCGATGGGGAAAGACAACCATTGGCTGCCTTACCACATGAGTCTAACCAATGGGGCGTTTCTCAGCCCCTTCTCACCCAGTAACACTCCTCTCCAAAGTGTCATCCTTTGATAAGCCAGAGCAAGGCCAAAGGCTGGGTGAATGGAGTTTTTTGGCTAGGCTGCCAAATTCCAAGACAGGTACTATTGTATTGTTGCCATTTTACAGATGAGGAAACTGAGGCCAAAAGCGGTTCAGTGACTTACCCAGGGTCACACAACTAGTAACTGCCTAAGGCTGGACTTGAACTCAGGTCTTTCTGACTCTGGGCCCAGTACTCTATCTACTACTATAACATATCTTTGGTTTCCATTGCCAGAGACTGCTTCTTTAACCCCAGCCAGTGGTCATACAGATCTGTGCTCTTGGAAGTGTGGATGGGCTCAGTGTAAACCTATCCTGCTAAAGAGAGAGGGGAGAAAAACAAGAAATAACAAAGCATGCCTTTCTGGGGGTAGGTCTGTAGCATCACCTTCTGAAAAGAATATCCATATTACTATGCCCACCACGTGCTGATTCAATGCTTTGCTGAATTGTCCTATGCTTGGCAAAGTTTAAGGTGAAATGTACAGAGTGCTGCATTCACAGTCAAAAAGACCTGGATTCAAATCTCACTTCTGATAATTACTAGCTATGTGACCCTCAGTATTGCCCTTGACTTCTCTGAGATAGTTTCTTCTTCTCTTAGATGGGGACAAGCACAGAATTTCAGAGTTGACTGGCATCTCAGCAGCTGTCTAATCCAACCCCTACCCTACCACTAGAACATCCACAACCGATGGTCAGCTAGCTTTTGCTTAAAGTCAATGCTCACTCCACTTTTGGACAGCTCTGATTGTTAGGAAGTTGCTTTTTTTTAAACCTACTACCAATTGTTGTCAAGAGGTTCAAGTGAGATAATGCCTGGAAAATACTTTGCAATAACATATAAATGTCAGTTATTATTGTCATAATGTCGTGACTCTCTTGGTGGGGTTGGGAGGGGACTTTCCTTGACTTCTATTTGTAACATTTTTAGTCTTGCAGCAGTAGAAAGAATTAAGCCTCATAAGGAGCTCTCTAAAGCATTTCCTGTTTGGGTCAGGTCAATCCACAAGAGATCTTATTAAAGCCACTCCATTCTGAATGTGTAGAGTGCTTCTGAGTGTGAAACCTGGACAAAAAACAACTTACTCCTTCCTAAGGCCTTACAATAAGGTTACAGATTTCTGCCTCACTGACCAGACTCCTTATTCAGTTCATCCCTCCATCCATCAATCCATCCATCCACAAACATTTATGCAGCATTTCCTTCATGCCTAGCACTGTGCTTGGTAATGTTTGAGATACAGAGTTTGTATAAAACATGTTGCCTTCCCCTTCATGGATCTCACCAATACCAACAGATATACGAGATAAAATGATAATTGTGGAGGTGCATCACACATAGTAGGTGCTTTAAAAACGTATGCTAGACTATAGTGCAAAACAAAATGTCGTGTGACATCTAAGGAGCACCTTTTGCTCTTAACGTCTCTTAATGAGATCTGAAGTAGTACATTTGGTTCCGGGCACCATATTTTTCAAAGACATGGACAAGATGGAAAGCACCTGGAGACAGGCAACTAACTGAGGGAAAGGTCTCAAGTTTATACCACGGGAGGCTTGGCTGAAGAAACTGGGGATGTTTAGCTGAGAGACGTGAAGATTGAGTGTGAGATCTGGAGACTTGATAGTCATCTTCAAATTTTTGAACGACCGTCTTGTAAAAGAAGGATTAGCCTTGTTCAACTCCAGAGAGGAGAACTGGAAACAAAATGTGGGGGTTGGGGAAAAAAAAGGCTAATTTAATTTGGGGGTCTGGAAAAACTTCCTCACAATGAAAGACTCTCAAATAGGAATGGGTTGATTTGGAAGGTAACAGATTCCCTTTTTATTTGAATGTCTAGAAACAATTTGGGGATGACCGCACGGCAGAGATGCCTTCAGAAGGGAATTGTTGCACAGACAGACATTCAATTGAGTGGGACCCATTCCCACTCTTGGAATTCTGAGTGGTTCTCTATGGCAAAATCATTCCCCACTCTTTGGCTTCCAAGAGGATGAAAAACATGGAGAAATAATGACAGCTAATGAGAGACTGAAAATAACGCCCCTCCTCCCTGCGCTCACTTCCTTCTCTTCTCAGGTTCCTCAATTTATTGGAAAAATCCAAAAGCTGCCTCACCTCCCTGATGAGTGTGACAGCAAAATGGAAGCCAAAATCATTGAGGAAGATGAGAAGGTGTCAGAAGAGGATGTAGAAGTAATCGAGTATTTAGACAGAGAAGCAGAGGAAGAACTCTTGGCCAGGATAAATGAGTATGAGCAGGTGAACGTAGAGCTCCAGGCTGAGCTGGAAATCACAAGAAATGAGTATTCGATCATCGCAGGTATGATGCCATGTTGGGTTGCCAAGCCTAAATGGGCAGAAGACTCACTTTGAGTGAGTGGGAAGTGGGGTACAGGGGATGGGGGTGGGTGGCCCCTTTGACTATCACTTTCTGGACACCTTGCTCACAGGGGCCGAGAGAATTGAAGCAGTTAGCAGGTTTGTTCAGAGGGAAGGGAGAAAGGGCATGCATGCTAGGCCAGTAGGGGCACTTCTAGAATTTGATCAGGACTTCCTAAAGGAAGGTAGAGGTGGACAGATGGTATGAAGAGATAGAGAGGAAAATGATGCCCCAGGATGGAAGTCTATGGGATCTTATTGGGTTAAGGGTGGGCCAGCTGCATTAGTATCTCGGAGAGCACACAATGAAACTTTCAGCTCCTTGCCTTTCCTCTTCCTCCTTCTATTCTTCATCTTCTCTCCCTCTCTCTTTGTCTTCTGTTTTTCCTCCTCTTTTTTCTCTTCTTCTTTCTCTTCGATTTCCCTTCTCTTTTCCCCTCTCTCTTTATTCTACTCTCCTCCTCCTCTCCATTTTCTCCTTCTTGCTAGTCTTTCTTTTCTTTCTTTCTTTCTTCTCTTTTTCTTTATTTTCTCTTTCTCACTACTCTTTTTTCTTTCTTCTCTCCCTCTTCCTGCTCTTCATTCTACCACTACTTTCTTCTCTCTCTCTTCTCCCTCCTAACCCTCATTTTCTCTTCTTTCTCATTTTTTTCTTGTCCCACTTTTCTTCTTCCTATTTTTCTCTCTCTTCTCCCTTCCCTTTTTCTTTTTCCTTTCCTCTCTTACTCTTTCTCTTTATTCTTTCCCTTTCCCCCCTTCTCCCTCTTTATACACTTTTTTCTTTCCTTCTTACTATTCTTCCTTTCACTTTCCTTTTTCCTTTCTATTTCTTCCTCCTCTACATTTTCTCCCTCCTGCTACTCTTTCTTTTCTCTTTCCATTCTCTCCTAATGCTTTTTTCTCCTTTTCTCTTTTTCTTTTTATTGTCCTTCTTCCCTCTTCTTTCTCTCCCTCTCTGTTCTTTTTCTCCCTTTCCTCTTTCACTATTTCCCTTTTCTCCTTTCTGTTGTCTCCCTCTTGCTCCTTTGTTTTCTCTTTCCTTTTCCTCCTAACCTTTTTTCTTTCCCAATTTCTTTCTTCTTCCCCTTCATCTTTTTTCTTTCCCTCTCCATTCTCTTTTTCTCCCTCTCCTCTTTCTTCATTTCTCCTCTTCCTCCTTCCTCTTCTCTTTTCATCCTCTTCCTCTTTTCCTTATTTTCTCTTTTTGTCTTCTCCCTTCCCTTTCCTTCTTTTTCTTCATTCCCTCCCTCTTGTTAGTTACTCTTTCTTCTGTCTCTCCTTTCCCTCTCAACTCTCTTCTGCCTCTTTTTTCCTCCTTTTCTTTCTTCTTGTCCTCTTTTTCTTCTTCCTCTTCTTTCTGTCCCTCTCTCTCTCTCTCTTCATTTTCTCCCTCTCCCTTCTCCTTTTCCTCCTTCTCCCACTCTCTCTTCCTCCCCTCCCTCTTCCTGTTTTCCTTTCCATCTTTCCTTCCTCTCTTCTTCCTTTTTCCTTTTCATCCTCATCATCTTATTTTCTTTGCTTTGCTCTTTTCTTACTCCTCTTTATTTTTTCCCTTCTGGCTACTCTTTCTTCTCCTTCTTTACCTTTACTCTTTCAGGAACTATTCTGTCATTACAAAGACAAGTGGATTTCCAGGAATCCCAACTGCAAAAAACTACACTGGAGAAAGAAACCCTGCAAAAGGAACTCCGAGAAAGGAAAGCTCAGCTTCAAGCCATGTCAGACAAGGTTGTAGCCCCCTCCAGACCAGCATGACCCTCAGTCTCAGGGCCCAGGAAGCTGCTTCCTACTTATCTATTACCCAATGAACACATGTCTACTGAGTTCCCATTGGGTTCAACCCTGTACCGGACCTGCTCCTGGGTCTTAGGACCCCAGGGAAGCAGCTGCCACACTGAATATCCTCCTTCCCTTATCTTTTAGTTCGCCAGCCTCCGAGAAGAACGAAAACATGAAGAAATGATGGGCATCATTGAGAAAGACAATCTTAACCTCAGACAGGTCCGAGTATTGTTAGATTGAAAATATCATTGTCATTCTTGCCATAGGCTAAATCCTGTTACAACCAACACGATTGAAGGCTAAAAATCTCTCTGTAACAAAAGAATTCCCAAGCACCAATCGCTGGTGCACTTGTCTTAAGTAATTATAGCTGACATTTCTATAGCGCTTAAAGTTTGTAAAGTGCTTTATATACATTCTCTCATTTGGCCCTCACAAAAGTTCTGGGATGTAGCCAGGTTTCATTATCCTCGTTTTAGAGATGAGGAAATTGAGGCACAGAGAGATTTGCCCAAGATCATACAGCTTATAAGTATCAGAGGTGAAATTTGAACCCAGGTTTCTTAAATCCCAAATCCAGCACTCTATCCACCAAGTGATCCATTATCACAAAAACCTAGCACAAGTTAAAAGGGAAAAAAAAGGAGAATATAGACAGTCTCTTGGAATTTATTTTAGCAGGATTTGTCTGGTAGCCAAAACATATGAATGCTAGTAGGGACTGGCCAGCAATGTGGGGGACAATGAAATTGATCAGCTTTAAGCTAGTTAGACTTGACCTTCCCCCCCCCCCCAGCTTATCTTTAGGCTAGGGGTTTGGTCTGTCCTCCATTTATCTCTTAGTTCTTCCCCTAGCATGTAGCTGAGCTGGAGTTTGAACTAAGGAAGAAGGAAGACGTCATCTCGGAGTATGACAGTAAGATCAATCAGCTGGAGGCCCAGGTGAATGCAGATCAAAACCACATGCGCCGGCAGGAGCGGATCCAGGAGGACCTCCAGAACCGCTATGAGGAAATGAAGCTCTCTGAGCAGCAGTACCGAGTGCTCCTGGAGATTTGCCAAGCCAGGGTAAAAGCTATTTGCTCCTCCCCAGGACCTCCCTTACACATAGGGAGATGCGGGGCGGGGGGGATGTCTGGGATCCCTGGAGCTCCTTGAGCACTAGATTAATCAAGAAGCATTTATTAAGCACCTACTATGTGCCAGGCCGTGAGCTATGTGCTGGGAGATGCAAAGAAAGACAAAAGACAATCCCTGCTCTCAAAGACCTCATAGCTGAACGGGGGAGACAACAGACACACATCTATACATACAGACAAAATATATACAGGAGAAATTGGAGATAATCAACATTGACATGAAGGCAGGTTGGGAAAGGCTTCTTGGAGAAGGTGGGATTTTAGCTGGGTCTTGAGGAAGCCAGAGAGACTGTGGGATGGAGATGACCTAGGAGAGAATTCCAGGCAGGGGTAAACCAGTGAAAATGCCCAGAGTCAGAAGATAGAGTGCCTTATGAGAAGGAGTGGTGCGACTGGAAGGAGTAACATGTAAAAGTATTCTCATAGTCTGTTGGCAGGCTTCTGAACAAAGCTAGAGGAGGTCATGTAACAGGTCACCTAGTTCCATTACAAATTGATGTCATTTGATTTCAGCTGGTCCTCATTGCGGCAAAGCAATGCTCTTACATTTCCCTAATTGATTCTCTATGCCCTTCTCACAGTAGATGTTCCGTTTCTCTATTTGAAGCTCCCATACCATCCTTTCTCCCTTTTCTCAGCACTGCTGAAGACTCTACCTCATATTTTCTGGAGAAAATAGAAGCCACTCCATGTATTCCTCCCTTTCCCCTTCTTTATTTACTTCAAAACTCTTTGACATCATCCTCTTCTTATTTCTCTCTCTACCCTAGTCTCTAATGATCCTTCTCCTCTAAGACCAACTCCTTGTCCTGTGTACCTTTCATCCCAACTTCTCCAGAAGATCAGCCTCACAATCCTCCACTTCTCTAATGTTCAATTCTCTCCTATCAGTTGCTTCCCTATTTGCTGCAAGCATGCTGACATCCTCTTGAGCCTTAAAAAACCCTCACCTAGGGGCAGCTAGGTAGCACAGTGGATAGAGCACCGGCCTGAAGTCAGGAAGACCTGAGTTCAACTCCGGCCTCAGACCAAATACTTGACACTTACTAGCTGTGTGACCCTGCGCAAGTCACTTAACCCCAATTGCCTAAAAATTAAAAAACACCCTCACCTGATTCCCTCATTTCTTTAAGCTATCATCCTATAGCTCATTTCCCTTTCACAGCTGAACTCCTAGAAGGAGCTACCTGCTCTCCTGGCCTCTGATTCCTCTCTTCTCACTCATTTCCCAAACCTTTACAAAATCTTTGGGACCTCATCACTCACCTACCTGAAGCATCCCTCTGCAAAGTTCCCAGTGGTCTATCTCTTAATTGCCAAATCTAACAACCCTTTCTCAATTCTCATCATTTGGTACATTGGCTGCCCTCTCCTCCAAGACAGTTTTCAGGACACTCCTCTTTCCTGGTTCTCCTCCTACCTGTCTGATGTTTCTCTCAGCCTCTTTTGCTGATTCATCCTCCATCTCATGCCCACTAACTGTGAGGATGCTCCAAATCTCTTTCCTAGGGCCATTTCTCTTCTCTTTCTCTTGTGAACCTCATAAACTCTCATGAGTTTGTCATCTCGATGAAGATGATTCTCATATATCCAGCCCTACTTTCTCTCTCCTGAGCTCTGGTCCCAGATCACCATCTGTCTATGGGGCATTTCAAAGTAATTGTTCTGTAGGTATTTCAAACTTAACAAGTCAAGAGCAGAAGTCATTATCTTTCTTCTCCAAAACTACCCCTCTTCAGAATATCTCTATTTCTGTCTGGAGTCCTAATGCTATCCTTTCAGTCACCTACATTTGCGATCTCAGAATTGTCCTCAACTCTGCATTCTCATTATCCTAATATGTGCATCAGGATGACTGAAATCACCTTCTAACTGGTCTTCCTGCTTTAAGTCACTCTCCAATACATCTAAAGTGTTTTTCCCAAACATGGGTCTGAACAGGCCACTCCCTCAATCAACAAACTCTTTTGGCTCCTTAAGACCTCCAGAGTCAAATGCAAATTCCTTTGTTTGGCATTTAAAATCCTTTGGAGCCTGACCCCTGCCTTTCCAGTCTATGGTACACAACAGTGCACCCAAACCTCCATCCTCCTGGTCGCTCCTCATAGACTTCACTTTTTACCCCTGTGTCTTTGCCCTCTCACCCCTCTGCCCAGAATTCACTCTGTTTTCACCTTTACCACTTAAAATTACTAGTTTTCTTCAAAGCTCAGATCACCTCCTAAATGAAGCCTTTCCTGATCGCCACCCCACCCCCAGCTGCCGATGCCCCTCCAATTATCTTGTATTTATGTATGTATCAATATACACATATTGTCTCTTACCCAAATTACATTATAGTCATTGTGTGTGTGTGTGTGTGTGTGTGTGTGCGTGTGTGTGTGTGTGTGTGCTGTTTTTCCCTAATGGAATGTAAGCCTCCTGAGGTCAGAGACCAGTTTATTTTTGTCTTTTTAGCCCCAAGGTTCTTGTGCATAGTACGTACATAAAAATGCTTGTGAATTGAATTGGATGGTCAATGGCTGTGGGAAGAAGGACATAAACTGGGGGAGGGGATCCCTGACTTGGACATGATGGGAGACCCTCTTATAGATGTATCATCTGAAGGAGTTAGCAGCATGACCTCCATACCCAAATTGCTTCCTCTGGCCGGTTCCAGCAGCATCTTTGATCATCATACCTCTTATGGATTAGAAAGATGTGTGCAGTTCACACCTTTAGTCAACCAAAATGAATTCTCAAGATCCATGGATACTTGGACTAGTGTTGTCTCTGACAGACTATCCAAAATGCTAAATCATATATGTATGATATGCAGGCCTTCCAGAGAAAGACAATCAGGATGGAAAGGGGGCTTAAAATCATTCCTAACGAGACCTGGCCAAAGAAGCGAGGGAAGGTTGGCCAGAGGAGGAGAAGACCTAGGGGAGATGTCACAGCTTTCTTCAAGAATTTCAAATGGAAAAAGGATTAGATTTGTTCTGTTATTTGACCCCACAGAGAAGAACCAGGAACGAGTCCTAACGACAAATTGAGGCTCGATATCAGGAAAAACTTTGCAATACTTAGAGCCATCTCAAAGTGGGAAGGGCTGCCTTGAGAGGTGGCTAGCTCACTGTCCCAAGAGGTCTCTGAATAAAGGAAGGAAATGAGCATTTTTAAGTGCTCACCATTGCCATTAAGCACTTTATTTTACTTCATTTAATTATCACTTTATTTAATATTATCTTATTTAATCCTCACAACAACTCCTGGGAAGTAGGTGCTATTATTGTCTTCATTTTACAGCTGGGGATACTGAGGCAGACAGGGATTAAGTGACTTGCCCAGCTACTTAAGTCTCTGAGGTCACATTTGAACTTCACTGTGCCTCTAGACCAGATGACCCTTTTCCAGGTTTTAATGTAGAGGGTGAATAGGTTGGACTGTATGACCTCTGAGGTCCCTTCCAACCCTGAGATTCTATGGCCTTGTGAATCTGCATGTATGCAGATACACGTAAAATAAAAGAATCTATTTTATTATAAATGGAGTCATTCAAACAATGTTCCAATGGTCCTGTGATCTCATTCCTGCGGAGATGCCCTCCAACAGAGCAGATCGCAGCTCATCCATGCTTTCCCATCCATCTCGCCACAGTCATCCCTGACTCCCATAAGTCTGCACAAAGTGTCCACCCAAGACACTGGGGGCCTTCCACAAATACAAGCAAACACATCAACAGCTTGTGGAAACAAACCATAAAATCAGAGTCATTGGCATTTGCATTTTTAAAAAGAAGGAAAAGAAAATAGAAGAGATAAAGTTCAGCAACGTAGCAGCAATAATCATTTTTGTGCCTCTCTTTCCCATCTGGTATTTATCAAGTTTTCTTGACATTTTTAATGTTTTTTAATAATTATTTTTACAACATCATAGGAGCAGGTAATCCCTCCAATTTGGCCCTTTTTCCTTTGTATCTTTTCATATTTATTCATCTTCTTCATAATTAAAAAGGCAGTTTTAAAAATCCATTTTGTTTCCAAACCTGTGATTTTGTCAATGTAGGGAATTCCTGATGGAGAAAGTCCCGTCACCAACGCAAGTCAGGATTCCAGCTTCATTTAAAGTCTTTGAGCCATTGCCTGGGAAACAGAGGTTGAGTAACATGGCTAGGATCACACAGCCATTATGTGTCAGGAAGCAGGATTTGAACACATATCTCCCTGGTTCCAAGGCTAACCCTTATCTCCTATGCCACTATTCCTCCTACTCTTTGGTTGGCTTATTTTCATCAATACTTTAGCCAGAAATTAATTCTTTTCAAATTGACTTTGATTCCAAAAGGTGATCATGAGTTGAAACCATCAGTCTGTCTTGCTCATCAGGGAGGACAAAGGGGTCCTTGAACTTGTGATTTTCATTCAAGGAGACCTCTTCCTGAAGCTGCTGCCCTGGGGGGAACATTTTCCTGAAAGGCTCTATTAGGCGTGGGATTGCTCTGTGGTATAAAATGTAGTATATATATACTTCTCCATTCACAAACATTCTACTTAAACCTTTAACCCTCTGATTCTGGTGCCTTTTTTGTCCACAGCTGGAAAGGCTAAGAAGTAAAATCATGCAGGCTGCATTTAGTACGGCAGGAATCAAGCTTCCATCTTCAGAAATTACAGACACTGACATCGTAGAAGCCTTGCAG